TAGCACTAATCACTGTACAAATGTCACTGGTGATGTCAGTGGTAGTTAGTCTGTTTTCCCCAGCATCAGTTACTGTCAGATTGCCTGCTGCACTACATCTCAGTCTCGTTATAACCACCATTACTAGTATAAAAACAAATGAATTAAAATTTCAGTATCTATCCCATAGTAGACACTATGACTTTCACACAAAACCACTCAATATACACTGATTGAGATTTTTTTTTACCAAAGACATTTAGTATATTACTTTTTGCCTAAAATGTATTAAGATCTGATTTTTTTAAATTTTTATATGGGATATGTCTTATAACAGAAAGTCAAAAAAAATTTCATTGATACAATAAAAAACCCAGAGGTGATCAAATACCACCAAATGAAAGATCTATTTGTGTGAAATAAAATTATATAAATTTTGTTTGGGCACAGCATTACATGACCGTGCAATTGTCAGTTAAAGTAGCGCAGTGCCACATAGCAAAAAATGGCCTGGTCAGGAAGTGGGTAAAACCTTCTGGGGGACAGGTGATTAATAGGTATTTCACAGGTATGTTCACATGCATTACTACCGTTTTAAACTTTTTATACACTTCTCTATACCAGAGGGTCACTGTGCTCACATGTTATAAGCTTTTCACCAAAATAAAGAAATTCCTCCTGCCAGGCAATGTCATAATATGCTAATATGCATCACATACTAGCAAATTATGAAATACTCAGCTTAAAACAAAGCCCTCCAGTGGTGTGCTATCACAGCTGACAGGGCTTCCATCTTCACCCAGTCTCCCTTCCAGGTTCGCGGACTCTGGCCAAGCCGCGATTACATCACCGCCACGCATGCGCGTGGGAGTTACATCCATACACACAGAGCCCTAAAGGGATGATATGATATAAGAAAACTTTTGCTGTAACAGCCCATAAAGTGTTAGCTGAAGTTCAGCTTCGGTTTGTAAGTCAAGTGCATCTAACGCTACCCTCTCCCTAGACCAGTGTTTCTCAACTCCAGTCCTCATGGACCCCCAGCAGGTCATGTTTTCAGGATTTCCCTCAGATGAAACAGCTGTGGTAATTACTAAGGCAGTGAAACTGATCAAATCACCTGTGCAAAATAATGGAAATCCTGAAAACATGACCTGTTGGGGGTCCATGAGGACTGGAGTTGAGAAACACTGCCCTAGACCAACAATGGCTGCATTGCTCCTCCATCCAGAATGGAGACACCCTAAGAATGGAATAGTGTTACTGGTCAGATCAACAGGAAAAATAAAGGAAATAAATTCTAAGAAAAGAAATCTAATTCAGCCGCCACATTTAAGGAACAGTAAGCTGCAATATAATCAATTTTTGGTTTTGGGTTTAGATACAGAGCTGAATTCCAGGTATGGAGTTACATTGGTCAAGCTTGGACCAATAGAATTATGTATAAGCCATACCTGATGGGCCGCCGTAGAAGCTGGAAAATCACTGTATAGTAGTCTTCACTACTACAGAGAAAGCCACTATCTTCTGGGTCCCATGCCGATTAGCTGCCCTGCTGCATAGTGGACTCGGGGTGGCTTGCTCGACATGGGCACCATTCACAGAACTCCTTGCATTTTTCTCAAAGGATGCAAGGCTTTCTTTGGATCAGGTTGAGATTGTGATATCATTGCCCTTCCTCTCCACCTTGTCCTTTCATTCATTGAAAAAAATGCAAAGGGTTCTGTAAATGGCTCCCATGCCAAATGGGTGAACCACTGTGGTTACAGTGCAGCAGAGCAGCCACCCAGAACAGGACCCAAACAATATCTGCAATTACTGAAGACTACTGCAGTGATTTACAGCTTCCACAGGGATCCTGCAGGTATCAAAAATGCATACTTACATTGGTCCAAGCTGGACCAATGTACCAATGCTATAAAATTCATATCTGGAATCCAGCTGTAAAGGGACATTGACTGTATTCAGTCTGTGCATCCCTGGATATACACAAGTAGGGAGGTTTGCAGAAATTGACCAATTCCTGAGGATTCATTAGTCTCAGTGAGTATAAAGATTACAGTAGAACCTAAAGACAAAACTTTTTTTTTTCAAAGTTTTTGGGTTAGGGAGGGTTAAAACCCTTGTCAGTTTTTTCTGCCATTGAAATCCCTCCAAAAGAAGGGAATCCATGGTTGTCACCAGAACTAGCATCCCCATTGGAAGATTTCTCCTCAATTCCTATACTGGAGACATCCCAACATTTGGGATTTTCTTTCACTTTCACTATCGGTGATATCGGCAAACAGGACAAATAGAGAGGAAGAATCTCCCTAATAGGGACACAGACCGTGTTAAAACCCAATGTTCTAATCCCTCTCCACTTTATCCAAAGCTAAAAGAAAAGTTTTGCCTTTAGTTAAATGATCACATTAGCCACTGCCACCATTGGGGGGGGGTCTACCAGCCTGAAAACCTCTGTTTGGTGATCTGTTCTCTGCAGATTTTGTAGAAATACTGTAAGTGGATGCCATTCATTGCAAACTGCACAGAATAATGGAGATCAATATTCCTAGACCTTCATATATGGCCACTTTTAGCTCACCAGGAATTTACTGCTGCTGTCAGCTATTGAGGTAGATGAAGATAACAAAGAATTTACTGACTCTCTTCCCAGAGAAAGAAGCACTTTGTACCAAAATCCGCTGACTCTCACATACCAGTCCATTTGTTTCCTGCCAGGGATAGAGTGTCTGAGAATGTAATGCACCGCGAGTTCTTCTTTATATATTTATCACTTCATCTCCATTAATATAGTGAATCTGAAGTGATGCCAGTTTTGATCATCATTCCTATTTTGATCAGCTCCACCCAAAAACAGATATTTTCCTTTTGTGTGGGCACCTGTGAGTTAAATGACTCAAAAGATTATTAAAACTACTAGAGACTCAAATGGATCAGTATCCTTGTAGTAGTTTATGCCTTCCCATCTACAAGACCATAACAAAGGTGTCACCATGGCAGCTGGACCATCTATCTACATTATGAAGAGTCTATTTGGACCAATGTATGACTGAGCTTGCTGAACACCATGCAACACTTAAAGTGGTATTAAATCCAAAGCCAAACTATAATATATATTGCTGATTACCAATTATTAGAGGTGGCGGCTGCATCATTTTCTTATTTTGGACTTTTTTCTCTCTTTTTTCACCTGATGATCTGGCCAGTAACACACCTCTGTATTAGAGTGCCCCCACTGCGCATGAAGGAGCACAGAGAGCAGTGCAGACAGCAGCATTGTCAGTCTGGGGTATGGTTGCCACCTTTTCTTCAAGCCAAATATGAACTCTTTAGAGACACATGGCATTTTTTTTGTAGTATACACTAGATATGCATCAATACAGATACTGGTATCGGTGCCAATACTGAGTATTTTCACAAGTACTCATACTCATGAAAATGCTTCTGATACGCAAACCGATACTTTGTGGTGTGATTTGTATAGAAAATTAGAAAATGTATGGCCGCAAATTGCACTGCAAAGAATAGAATGCGATTTGATTAAGAATACTGTGCCACTAATATCCAAATCACATGTGGTTTCCACACCGCTCCTGTGTGACCCCAGGCTTGTCATCTCCTCTCCTACAGCTAACAATCCGGAGCATCTGCCTCCATCCTCCGATGGCTGACACCAAGGTATACATCCCCACACTCCCTTCTCTCCCACTCTCCACTCAGCATGGGATTGGTACAGGAAGGTTTCCAGCACCGCTCCTATGTGAACCCAAGCTATAACAAGCCTGGGTTAACACAGTAGCAGTGGAGAAACCGCATGCGATTGGGACAGGAATAGCATTCCTGTTCAAATCACATGCTATTCTTTGCGGTGCAATTTGCGTCCATACATTCTGTATTGACGCAAATTGCACCACAAAGTATCGATACTCGGTATCAGTGAGTACTTAACCACAAGTATCAGTACTCGCCGATCAAAACATGGTATCAGTACATCCCTAGTGTACACATCTTTTTTAAAAAAAAAATAAAACTCTTTCATTACATATGATTTTGCATACACTTAAAGTAGTCAGAGAGCTAACCTTTAACTGAGCCTTCCCTGAAGAAGACCTTCATCAAAATAGTCATGGACTGCTTAGCAACTGGCAACTGTTAAGACAATGAACACTTTGGGAAGACGTAGATAATGTACAGTGTTGTGTATATATAGTGCAGGAGTCTGTGAGGAGGATTTCTGGGGTTGGAGATGTGCAATATATAGAGTGCAGCAGTCAGTGTTGGGTTTATGATACAGAATGGAGTGTACAGGGGTTCAGGGTGTGTAATGTGATGCAGACAAAGATCAGGAGTATGTAACACACAGAGTGCTGTAGTCAGTGTCTTGTTTAGGAATACATGGCACGCAGAGAGCAGGGTCCAGGACTACATATTGCACAGAATGCAGGCAACAGGAGTGTTATACACAGAGTGCAGGGGTCAGGAGTGTGCAATGCATAAAATGCAGAGGTCAGATATGTTTAAAACCACTTTCTGTCATAGGGTGACAACGCTCATGGATCTTACTGTATCAGGAAAACAGGCACAGGACAAACAACAGAAACCTCTCTCTTTCATCTTCTCTATAAGGCCTGGTTCACACCAATGAGGTTTTTTTAGTGCTTTTTGCGGTTTACAGAAACTCACTACATCCATTTAACATGGTTTCCTATGGGACACGTTCACACATCTATGTGTTTTCAGCCACTGCGTTCTTGGATAGGGTCAGAGATTTTTTTTTCCTGCAGCAGATTGCAACAGGTGTAGGTGTGAACCAGACCTAAAAAGCATAGGAGGGCACCTTAGATCTCAGAGATTACTGAGAACAATGTACTTGATATGATTATAGCTAGAGATGAGCGAAGTATTCAAAATTCGATTCGGCTGATTCGGCGAATTCGAGGAATAAATTCGATTCGATGCGAATATATTCGCTGCGAATTTAACTTATAAAAAAGGGTGTTTCTAGGCTTCAGAGAGCCTTTTATTAGTGCAGAACACTGTACCCTTAATTTAAATGCCCTTGGAGTCTGCTGGGGAAGAGAAATAATACTGTCAGTCAGTATGACATGCAGATGAGTGCCGTCGATCTTAGAATCACCGCACACTTCACTCATTTGGGCAGTCACGGGGCCAAAACCAGAGTGTGGAGCCACAGTGTGGCGGTGGAGGCAGCAGCAATGGGAGGCCATACAGCACCCTATGACAAATGGAAACCCACCAGCAGTGTGAGGAGACCTGAAAGTGGCACATGGCAGAGTGTGGCGATGGATGGCAGCAGCAATGGGGAGGCCGTACAGGGACACATGACACACTCTGGGAGCCTGGCAGCAGCGATGAGAGAGGAGGTACAGGGGGCCCATGACAGAGTTACGGGCTTGGGCAGCAGCATGAAGGGAGTCGGTACGGGGGCCATGGCAGTTTTCGGGCTAGGGTAGCAGCTATGGTAGGCCCGTAATCTGCCAGCATCCTATGACAAAATGGAATCCCCTCCCCAGCAGTGTGAGGACGACCTGGAAAAGTGTGCACATGGCAGAGTATTTTGGCGATGGATGACATCAGCAATGGGAGGCCGTAAGGGACCCATGACACA